AAAAAAAAAGGTATATATACAAACTACCAAAAAAAATTTTAAAAAAATAAAAAGATTAATAAGATGAGTAGTGCTTGCACTCAATCCAACTTGAGTGTCCTTACAAACTACCAATGGATGAATTCACGCATGCAAGGGGCAAAAAAAACAGTATGAAAGATTAAAATGGCAACCTTTAAATCTTTAACTCTAAATTTCAATCAATACTGAACAGATTTAACTTGGGAGAGATTAAATATTCTATCCAAATCTAATTATGTGTTTTTGAAGACAACCATTTTAGTTAATTAACCAAATCATCGAAATTTTTAAATGCAGAGTAGCATATACATAAATATATAAGTCCCTCTCTGAGAACTAACCAAAACATCTTTAGTGTCTAAAGCTAAATCCTTTCCCTATGGACAGTGAAGGAAACATTCAAAAGTTAAACAAAGAACCATTCGGGTTGGTTAATGGGTCTCTAGCTAGTTATGAACCATTATAACATAAAATTCTAAACAGTGATCATTCACTTTTTTCCCATTTTTTCTTGGGTCATCATTCTCTCAAATTGGGAGACCAATTGTCGCATATTACCACCACCGCTACTGGTGGCCTGGACTTCTCCACTTGTCGACACCAAGACAATTTCCAAATCAATTTGTGGTTGAGAACTTGAAGAAGAACTAGTTCTTTGAGAAGTCTCTACAGAAAAAATTTTTTTTGTCATATATTGCTCTGAGAGAACTTATTATAGTATAGTTATAGTTCAACTTTAAACTTAAATGTTAACCTGTTATAAGGTTTTTAAATTGTGGCGAACACATGGTTGCCGCTCGGGGCCATGCAGCTTGTCTACAAAAATGGACATATAGAATGCAACAACATAATAGAGCAACTAGAATCCTTAAACCTTGATGCAAGAAAAAACCAAAATGGATAGCAATAAAAGAGAATATTGAGTTGATTAAACCAAAATCTATGGTCGGTCGAATCAATTGATTTAGACTCACTAAAGCAGCCAAACTAAAGACTAATAAGATGATATTGAACTGAGAAATGGAGTTAAGTAGAAAGGTAACCACACCACCCACTAGTACATTCAAGGATTGTAAAAAAGGTCCATGAGGTCCCCTCATGAAGGTTGAATTCCTAACCGTTTCTAAATGTCTATACAATGCCACCACCAGTTGACCCAATGCCAAACATAAAACAAGCATGATTTTATCTCTTTTTGCTAAACTCCAAGTTTCTAACTCCATAAACACTCCAAGAAAAGACAGGACTATTAAGGACAAAACTAAAACCAGAAAAGGCAAACCCTTAGTATAGA